GACGACTGAGGGGTGACATGATTGAGGTTTATAAGATTATGCATGGGAAAGAGCAGGTAGAGAAAGAGGTACTTTTCTCCCTTTCTCACAATACAAGAACTTGTGGGCACTCCATGAAATTGCTGAGCGATCGGGTTAGAACGGATAAAAGGAAGTACTTCTTCACCCAAAGAGTGATTAACACTTGGAATTCACTGCCACAGGAAGTGGTGGCGGCTACAAGCATGGACGGCTTCAAGAGGGAATTAGATAAGCATATGGAGCAGAGATCCATCAGTGACTATAACACAAGGTATAGATAGGGACTCTGGGGCAAGTGATGCTCTGTCTTCTTGGTGCTTGGGGGGGTCAACAGTGGGATGGCTTCTAGTGTCCTGGCCCCACTGCTGGACCTCCTGATGGCACTGGTATTTCTGGCCACTGTGTGATACAGAGTGTTGGACTGGATGGGCCTTTGGCCTGATCCAACATTGGCATCTCTTATGTTCTTATGTTCTTATGTCACAATCCTGGTATTCCCATTGGCCCCACTGGTGGACCTCCTGATGGCACTGGTATTTCTGGCCACTGTGTGATACAGAGTGTTGGACTGGATGGGCCTTTGGCCTGATCCAACATTGGCATCTCTTATGTTCTTATGTTCTTATGTCACAATCCTGGTATTCCCATCCAAATATGAGCCAGGGCCACCCCAGCTTAGCTTCTGAGGTCTGACGAGATCGGACTAGTCTGGGCTATTCAGGGCCCGTACCGGATTCCAAAGTGAGTTTTGGTTGCCTATCCCTGATCCAAGTGAATGGCCACCACCACAGCCTAGGACAGTGAATTCCACAGCTTAATCTGCCAGGCGTTTGGTTGAGGGCAGCAACGGTTCCATCCTGGCACTCCCCCCACTCCCCCCGCCCCCGGTGAGATAGCGGTATTAACTGGCTTTTCTTGCACCATCTCTAGCTACATTTTTCTTACTGGCTTTAACTTGTTTTTAATTGATGTTTTATGACCAGGTTGTACACTGCTCTGAGCCTGGCTTGCTGGGGGAGGGGGACTGGAGGGGGGGGGATCCAAATAAATAAATAAATGTTGCTGATGGGCCAAGGTTTCCTCACCCCACTTACAAGGCTGTGTACATTTCCAGCATCTGTAGAGCTGTTTCATAATTAGCGTATGGCATGAATCTCATCTGTTATCTTAAACTGGGTTTCCAGATTGCAGGGACTGAGATGTGTTGAGGGTTTTGCTTTCATATTTGATCATGAACATGATGTGCAAAGGTGAATTTGCTTTCATGTACATGCTCTGGCCAGCTCTAGCACCTTGTCACACCTTGCCAAGCCCATAGCTATGGGATTCTGGGAAATGTGGAATGGAGCAGCATATACCTGGGTTGGAGTGAGGTCTGTGCATGTGTTGGTTAATTAAGGAGTGTTCTTTATTTGCTATTGGCCATGTAGCTACTCGGATCTCTCAAAGGACTGGAGTCAGGACTCCAAGGAGGAGTGTAAGCAGACAAGAGGCTGAGCAGGTAGAGAGGGAAGCCATAGACGAAGCGATTCAGCAACCTGGTGATGAAAGTAAACCAAGAGAACTGTCGGATTTGGAAAGTGATGCAGATGTGGTGTCTGAAATTGAGATGGAACCTGAAGTTGAGGATGTGTCAGAGGCTGAAATGGACTCAGAGAATAACGGTGAGAAAGACTCATTTGATGGGAGCGGTGAGATGGGGAGGGTGATTGGGGTTGCAGACTCCGATGCTGGCACGGACCGTCGGGCTTTGAAGCTGGTGCTTAATGGAGCCCATTCTTGCAAATCCTTCTCCAGAAAACTGGGAACCTTGTAGTTCTCTTGAGGGTGCTCCAAAGGGATTTGCCAGAAAACTTAATTCTCCCCCAGTACTTGTACACGTTCTTGAATAATTTCTTATATCCCCTGTGTGCCAAGATGGTAGCTGGTCTTACAGCTTGGCTTCCTTCCAGTCCTGTGAAACTTAGTGCTCTTCAAATCAGAGAATCCCAGTACTTCTGGCTTCTGCTATGAGATGCTGGGTCAGCTATGAAAAAGGAGGTGTCATGCCAACCCGCTTCCTGCCAACCCATAGGCTGTTTCTGAGCTGACTCTCAGATTACTGTTTCCATCCCCCATTAGAGCCACCTGTGAAGACAGCAGCATTTGTACGCAGAAAAGCCTTCCAGTGTACCTCATTGCTGTCCAGCCCACACACTCCGAAAGCTGTCTCCAAGTAAGTACAGAGCCGCAACTGGGAAGAACTGAACCTTGGTTCAGAACCAAGCTGCTGAGGCTGGGAGGTTTTGGCTGTGGCCTGAGACACTCTGCCCTGCAGCACAGCAATGGCCTTTCTGGCCAGCCCTCATAGGGAGCATAGCAATCCATTTCTTGGCTGTGGCTGCAGTGTGTAACTTCCGAGCACCGAAGTACCACTGCTTAATTCTGCCGGGAAGCCATGCCCTCTAGCCCATAAGTCCTGCTGCTAGCCTCGGGAGTGACAGTGGCAGCTGGTAGGTTGTTCAGCGATAAAGGAGAGGTACTCTGTACATGCTCAGTTTTGCCTCAGGCTCTTCTGCAGTTCCTCTGACTCTGTGCCCCTCCTGTTAGAACAGCCCCGAAACTGCTGCTGCTGCTAGTGCTAGGATGGACCCCCAAATAATGTTCAGTTAAACGGTAAAGCTTCCTATACACTCTTCTGCCAGGTTGGTTTCTGAGCAGATCTGCCTTATGGGTTTCTTGAGTTGCTGGTGTGACAGAAAATCCAAGAAGCCCAGAGCAGCTGGCTGGTATTTTTTCTGGTGTCTCCAAGTGAGCCAACAAGCTGTACACACCTAACCGTTCAGGCATTCTGCTGTAGTGAAGTGTGATATCCGCAGAGAGTTTTATCAGTTCACCTGTCAGGAAACCTGTGGCATTATCACATATGCGATGCGACGAATCATTGTTTCCACATAAAAGTAATATGAAGCTTCTCTTAAAGTGAATATAATTTTTCGACATGAGGATTATTCCCTGAGCTTTGTGATACGCACCCGTTTCTTTGCTGTGGAGCTTGTTGCTTTAAGATAGGTGGGTTGTTTCTCTCAAAGGTCTGCTTCCAAACAGCCCTCAAAGAAACAGGTTCCAAAAGAATCCAAGAAGGCACGCAGAGAAAAACGTCAGCCGGGACTCCCCAGCAGCTGGGTGAAAAAGATTTTCAGCCACTATGCAAAGATGCCAGTGGCCAAGGATGTTGTCCAGGCTGTGGAGAGATGGTGAGTAGGGGTGAGCGCTCGGTATAAACCTGATAAATATTTTCTCAGCCGATCACTGAGGGGACGAGTGATGGAAATGGAGGATGGGGGCACCTTCTGGGAACCATGGAATCGGACCCCCTGGTCCAATCTTTTTGAAACGGGGGGTTTTTTTAGAGGGGGGGGGGGGGGGGGTTGAGGAGAGGCACCAGCAGCTATGCTGCATATTTAGTGCCTCTACCTCAAAGAACAGCCCCCCCCCCAGCCCCAGATACCCCTGGATCGATTCTCCATTATAGCCTATGGGGACAATTGATTATAATGGTCCCCATAGAATATAGTGCAGCTGAAAAAAAATCACAAATACCGAATACCGAAATTAGAATATCAGGAAGTACTAATATTTTTTGGGTTCAGTATACCCAAACCCCCAAAATACCGGGGTTTTGTGTGCACACCCCTAATGGTGTGTAATTTCATAGATTAATGCTCTGTGGGAAGGGGGTGTCTACCAAAACAATGTGAGGAGCAGGAGACCCAGAGCATTTTGATACAGCATCAAGAATGTTATGGAACCAGATTCCAGCATCATCACTTATTTCTCACCTTTTTGAAGGTCTTCTTGCTTGAGCACCTAATTCCGCAGGTGTGCATGGGGCTGAGATTCTCTTTTTGGGATGCCAGGGTAGTGCAGTCCATTTCCCAGCAAGGGGCAGTTGCAGCCTGCCCAACTCACTTCCTGCCCCCACTTTCTAGTGTCAGCCTGTACTTCAAGCATCTGAGTGATGACCTGGAGACCTACGCAAATCACGCTAGAAGGAAAACAATAGAATTGGCCGATATGGAACTTCTCATGAGGAGGTAAGGGATGACTGCCTCCTTTCAAGGGACGCGGCACCAAAGAGCAGTGCTGTTCTAGATCTGCACTGTGTGTTTCTGAAAACAGGTCTCCCCAGAAGCAGGCGGATGGGCTTACTTTACTCATCAAGTGGTTCGGGGGCAGTAAACCTCTGACTTCTAGTGCAAGGTGGCAAGATCAGGGGAGGCCTTGCCCTCTGTGTGTTTGTTAGCTCTCTACAGCAGTTTGTTGGCCACTGTGTGAAAAGGGATGCTGGACTAGATGGACTGATCCAGCAGAGCTCTTCTGATAATCTTATGCTTCTGCTTCTTTTGGACTAACATGATGCTTCATAGATATAACTTGACATGCTAGGAAATCTAGCTGGCTTCTCAACAGTCCAGGCCTTCAGTCAAAGTTGTTGATGGCAGTGACTAGAATGTATATATTTGGTAGTAAATTCCTTGTCCATCTCATAGCGAATGCTCTTTGTAAACTGGATCTGCTTTGGTTTGATAGATGCAATGATCAGTGATCAATACGAACTCAGCAATACACTCCCCCCCCCTCTCTTCTTCCTTCTACCTAGGCTGGTAACTGACAAGATCCCTTTAAATGTCCTGATAGAACATCACTTGCCTCTGGAGTATAGAAAACTGCTCATTCCTGTTGCTTCCAGTGGAAATAAAGTTATCCCACTCCATCCACAATGAGATTTTGGCAGAGTGCCTGATGCTCAAGGCAGATAAGACCCCGTTTAATTAATCAAATGCAGGCCGGAACCAGCATGGAGATGGGACCCTACCAGCAAACCTGGCTGTACTTAAGAGGGGATGCAGAAAAACCTCGGAAGTGTGAATAATTTATCTGATGCCCTTCCCTTCAAATTTCTGTGGTACACAAGCCACTTTGTTCTTTTTAACTGTACTTGTAAATAAAATGTTTTCTAGAACACATAAACTCTGCGGTTTCAAGTGTGGTTTAACAAGATATGTGATATTCTGTCTGCCTACTGGTGGGAGCAGGGGGTCAAGAGGCTTGCTTCCTGATAGATAACCTTGCAACACCAAAGACAAAACTGGATCAGATTTTCATTGTATTTCTAACACAGAAGAGTCTTTAGCTGTTTCGAAAACTGAGTTAACGAAATAGGAAGAGTTGTTCAAATTCATTATTTCAGATTAACTCTCAGACATAGTCCAAAATTTCCACAAAGTTATTTCACAGGGCATTCCCTAAAAATGGCCTGGAAGAAAATATGTTGACCCCGGGGTATGACAATTACTAGGGTTTAACAGTTTCATGCCCCATCTTCTGCCTGCAAGTAATGCTGCTAATTGATGTGTTACAAGCCCTAACCCCCATATTTGCTCAGACAAGTTCCAAACACACAACGAGCTGCTGTAGTTTTACCAGACCAAGACTAAGCTCAGCATGAATACTGTGTTTGCTGCCAGAAAGAGACAGAATGGTTTTATTTACACTTCTGGAAATCCCAACAGGCAGCAAATGAAAAATTTTTTCCCCCAAATCTGTCTGCCACAAAGTTTCAACATCCTGTTTTCATGACTCGTTCTTGATAAGGGTTTCTTCATGTGATCAAGTAGGGAGTCCATAGGCAGGGTAGAGTGGGGTGCGCCAGTTTGAACTTCTAGCCTGTGTCAGAACAAAACCCAGTCTCTTTATAACCTGAGGTTGGTTAATGTGTTTTGGGAAATGGTATGGTCTGAACAGGATGCTCACATGGTTACGAAAACAAGCAACCATAGATGATGGAAAATCTTATAGCAGACCTTGATTCTGTAGAGCTGTCTCATGTTCTGCTGGTGAGGGGGAGATGGTCTGGGATTACTGCTACAGCCAGAGGCCCTAACCAAAAAATGTTAGGACATTTGAGCTAATTATCACCTGGGTTTTTTTTCAAGGCAGTATCATTCTAGATCAGTGCTCCATAAAATGTACTGTTTGGGTAAGAGGAGGAAAGGATGCAAAAGAAGACACAAGTCAGGCGATAGAATCTGTCTCTTCTGCCCCAGGCAGCGCACCCCTTAACTCTCCTGGAATAGCTCCTTGTCATTTGAAGTCCAGGCTTGCAAGCCTTTGCATCACCACGTCTACAGGCAGTGAGAAAGCAGAATCCAGTTGCTCTCTGGAAGTTTGGAAAACATGGATGAGGTATGACTCCAGGGTCTGGTCAAGCAAGCCAGGGTCAACTATACAGAAAGCTGCCCTCAGGTCATCTGGTCTCACTTCCCTGTGTTACAAAACAAACAGTTAATGGTGGGTATTGATGCATAAGGAAGACTTGCTGTCATATTCAGAAGTCAGGGCCTTTCCTGGGCCCGCTGTTCTTT